GAGAGAGAGAGAGACTCTCGCTTCATCCCCGGACACAAGGGAACGGGTAAAAGCTATCGTATTAAAGTCGTTTCTGTCGCAGTACGGCGTCTCATTTTGCGTCCGAGAAAAAGGATTAAATCGCGGTTTCCGCCGCCGCTCGCCGGCGTGATTACCTCGCGTGCAACGGTCGGCGTGTGACGGGAAATAATGCCGTGGAAAGCGGCGGCGGAGTGGATATGCACAAGCCCGTGCACTCTCCCGATGACGAGGATTATTTAGATAGTGATGCAAACACCTTGCGTACATACCTCGCGAATGTATATACAATCGTACGACGTAACCGCAAACAGCACGCTCGAAGGCAACGCACCGAGCGAGCGTGAATAAAAAAGGAAGATTGAGTTTTCGCGCGCGCGATGCGTTGTCCGCGTGATAGTCTCGTCCCACAAAGAAAATGCGGATGAACTTTGAGAATTGAAAAAGAAACTTAATTTTCCAGCGCTCTCATACGTATCGCTCTCATACTTGTGCTGTATTGCTATTTGCTATTTTTTTTGTTTCTTAATTATAATCTCCAATAATTACGAGTGAGTTTTTTTTGTTGTCCAAAGATCGGTCTGCTCAACGGATGCCATTATACCGTCGCCTGTGCCTTCTCGATTAAACGATCTCGTCGATCCGGTGATGGCGATCGATTTGTAAATTACAATCCTTCTACGCGTGTGTTCGTCGCGATGATATCTTTAATGCGTAATATTTCCGAGGTGGGTCGCGTTACGACGACAGGTTTTCCTGTTTCTATTTTCGATGTTACATCGTGACGGGCGAGTGGGCGTGATTAGCCGGTAAAGTGATCATCGCTGATGAACGCCTCGCCAGAAGGGGAATGAATAATAGGCCAGTCGAAGAAAACACGTTCTGATTGAGTTAATCGCCGGTGTGCGTACGTCATTACATCGGCGCGGCGACTCGTCGGATTCTCGACGATGCAAGGCCGAGTACGTGTAATCCCGGCACCGTGTTCGGGTCGTTCTTAATTAACCCACCAAATACTCTCTCAGGCGGGATGCGACGAATTTCTTTTCCGCGATCCTTGGCGATCCGAGCTGAATGTCATCCAGTCCCCAGTCGTGAAATATTCAGCTCGAGCGCGAGATCTTTTAATTGACCTCTTCATTTGACTTTGATTTAATTTCGTTTGATCTCTATCTCTAATTTGAGAATAACGATTCAAATGTCACGCGATGATATCCTCTTCTTTCCGTTCTTATTAGCCGTCGATCGCCACGCGATCGATGACCGTTGCGAGGATCCAGCCAGGAAAAACGCCACAACGATTAACATTTCGCGCGGCGCGCTTTACGGATACTTCTTATATATCAAGCGGTATCATCTTATTTACGACACGCTGGTAATGGCATCGTGTTTGCGGCCGTAAATTGCTACTGAACGTCTCCCGAGCTGACAAGTAACACGGCGATGCCCGCGCACGGCCATTACGGGCATCGGCCCGCGGCCTTCCAACTCGGACGCGTTTTAACTTCGCTCGCGCATCGATCATGAGATTCATGAGCATCGTCAGTCCGGGGCCACCGACTCCCTCGGTCTCCCTTTCCTCTTCTTTCGCTTTTCCTCCTCTCGCCTCGCACGCTCGCCTCTCGCTCGTTTCGCGCGCGTCGATATTCGCCAATTATGGCGATCCGCTCGGCGAGATCGGCAAAGGGGATCACTTTTATTTCATACGGAATACCGCGTTTAACGTGTTAAAAACGCTCGCTATAAATTATCGATGCTACCCCGAGTATCAATCAGATTTGATTTATCGACGAAATATTTGGTTGGAAACGAAAGTGTTTCAACCCGATAATCTCGACGATGACTCCGCGAAACGATCCTGGGCCGATGCCAACGAGGTCGAGAGTGTATCGAAAGTTCGAGAGAATCACATTCGGTTCGATTCGAGACTTTTGTCATTTTGCGTTTTGGAATGATTCCGAGTTAGCTCATTAGTCCCGTCATACCGGCTGGCGATACCATCAGGCGAATAACGAGCGGCGCGGACGTTCTTGTTTCAGGTTGCGACACGACCTTGGAGCCCGGATCAGGGCAAGACGCGGGAGATGACCAAGCTCTGTAACCATAAGAGGAAACTTCTGCTGCCGGTCGCGGCCGCCAGTCCTGTTGCGTCCTGTACGCCGGCGGTCTCGTCGTCGACTTTATCTTCTGGCCCGACAACGGCCTCGATTCACGCGAACGCCGACTCGCCCACGTCGCCGGATAAAACCAGAAAAGGTAAGAGCGCGAATGCTACCAGAATAATCGGATTATAATTCGGATCGAGCGGAGAAAATCTCACTGCCCGCATTAATGAAGAAACATAGTAGTACGAGGCTAATAGAAACGTAAAGCGAGAACCGCTGTTTTATAGAACGTACGTTTAATATGAGTTTTAACAAAGTGTTTTAACAGACACTTAAATCTAACAGAATCTAATCACGAATGGATAGCGAAGTACGTTATTTGTGGTTAGATACTTACGTTTTCGATTTATAACGTTTAGGTATCTCTCGAAACAAGTATTCGCGCCATTATATATTTGCGTCAGACTTCGGAAGTTTCTTTCGTATTAAGCGTGTAATCGTTCTTACGATCAATCGAAAATCAAAATCTTTCCATCCTCAACATCCGTTTTTAATCCTGACGACTTCGGCAGATCAAATTCCATGCCGCACTATCTTACACACACACACACACACACACACGCGCGCGCGCGCGCGCGCGCGCGCGAGTGTCCACGAAACTTTCTCTATCGATCTGGCGTATTAACAAAGTTTTCTGTCAAGTCGGACGTCGAACCGGCGCCATAATCGTCGAGACGTTTATTCACCGTCGCGCGGGAACACGTGCCAACTTTTATTGGAGGAAGACCAAAAGTTTTTCCACCCCGTCAAGTGAGCCGTGATCATTAGGGAAAAAAAGTCGACAGTGGAAGAAGGACGACAAAATTGCGGCATTAGCGAAGTCGGTTCGCTCACTCTCTCTCCTCCTCCTCCTCCTCCTCCTCCCGTTTCAGAATCGTTCTTTCTTCGCCCGCCACGTTGGCATTAAAGCTCGAGAGAAGCGCGGCGAAGGGTGAGAACGGGGGGGGGGGTACAGGCAGGGCGGAATGATGTATCACCGTAGCCGCCAAACTCTCCACCGAATTTCATTACCAAATCCCATAACCGACGTATCCCATCCCGTCGCGTCGCTTCTTTTCCCATTCTCTCTTCAATCTACCCCCTTCCTTTTTCCCTTACTTTCCGCGCCGTTAATTAAGCGGCTGTTGCAGGACGCTACGGACGCGTACCTCTACCTGTACTCCAAATTGCGTCGGCTAGAAATTATAATCCGCTTGTAGATTGAAAGCCGAGCGCGACCGTGTCGGCGACCAACGGTTATTAAACTTTCACCCTGCGCGCGTCGTAACTGCGCGTTTTAATATTATTCGCAGCGGGGCTGGAAACGCTTCGACGTTGAATTACTGGAATACGACATAGAAACGATATATATCTAGAGCATAAATATTATTAATTTGCGTATTATATCGCTAAATTACGAACTTCTTTTTGCAATTAAGCATCCGTATGGTATCATAATTTCCTGTCCATGTCTCTTGAGGGACTTGCTCTCACGACAATAAGAATGGACTGAACCGTTGCGCAACCCCCTCGCAAATAAATTAGCACGATGCATTCCACGCGTTCCGTGTGGTTGCATTCGTGCGCGGCATCGTAGAGGGGAGGGGGAGGAAGCTGGTAATTCCGCGCTTGCATCTGAAAATCTGGGGCTGAAGTTTAACTCGAGTTTACGACCGGTGCGCGAGGTAGGATAATACGTATACGTCGGTGGCGGTGTTTTTATGGGACTTTATAGGGTCGTTTTAACATCGACGCGCGCTCGCGCCGCTTCGATTCCAATTCTCCGGTGATATAAAACGACACGCTCTGGATGGCAGGGTTAGCTTTTTCCCCCCTCCCCCGACTTTCTCTTCTCGCTGGCGCACCATGGGGGGTTTGCTCGCATTCGGGTTCGCGCTCTGCGCAAACACACACATACATACATACATACACATGTACGTTCTACGTGTGCAGGGGAGAAGAACGGCAAAGGGAATAAGTGGAGAGACTCGAATGAATCTTTATCGTTGAACGTCGAGCTCCAAGTTTTCATAACGCGCTCACCCCCGCTGGGAGCCGATTTAATTCCCCCTTTTTCTGATTTTCAGTTTGACTTTGCCAGCTTAAGAGGGAGGGGTCCTCGCGTACCTACGATGGATTATATACCGCGTTGGGAGTAGAAATGATTGAACGTCTCAGTTTTATCGGTCACGAGAGCGAGGTAGAAGTCGTAATTATTCGAAGCAATTCGCTGGAAAAGAAGCGCTAAATTTTTTGCATTATTTTTTTATTTTAATTAAATTATTTCATTTTGTATTGTTAACTCTTCATTTTTTCGATTCTTTTATATATTTTTTTATTCCATTAGTAATATTTTTTAAGATGACATGGGACGCATACTTAGCGCCATTTTTCTGTGAAATGGTTATTTTTGTATTATTGATTGTATGAAATGGTTAATTTTGTAATATGTTAATTGCTTTATTAGTTTAGTTTTTTCAATAACATAAAGTACACAATTATTTGTACTAAATTAAATTCTTGATAGAAGTTTAGGAAATTGGCGGCGATTTTTTTTAAATGCTTTCCATTATAAGGAATTTTTTTCTATGTAATTAGATTAACAACATCTCAAATATTAAATCGAATATTTCACGCTATGTGTATTGTAACGTAAAATGTATTCCAGTTGTATTCCAAGACTTAATTAAGATAATTAAGTCCAACCTCATTTATTCGATTGGAAATGTCAGTAGACACGTTTAACGAGAATCATCACGCATCGTGCAATTGTTGAATCGGTCGTAGTACCCGTCCGACTAAATCTAGGGCGCGGTTTTACGCGATCTTTTGTCGCCTCAAACAATTTTCCCTGTAAACAGTTTCCCCCGGAGCTCGATCGATCACTTTTGTCCTCGACGTCGACGTAGTGCGCGGCAGTTACCGCGACATCCCGAGAGCACCGAGAAGCGATTTTACGGTCGACGAACTCCAATTCGTTCCCGTGTGAGAGGACGCCACCCTCTACTCCGGGTTTTCATTGCAGGTGACAAACTTTAAAAATTCCTTTAACGGATTTTGCTGCACGCGAGTCTATTTGTTTTCGTTGTTCACACTGAGAATATTGTGCTGTGCAAACAGATTAACCTCGCCTGACGGGTCTATTAGGCCCGTATTCTTTTCTGAAGACTTCTGTTTGCATAGGATGTTCCTACGAGAAATAATCTTCTAAAGTTAAAGAAGCAAAGGGGGAAAACGCGGAGTAAACACAGTCCAATCTCTATGTAAGATGAAAGAGCAAATTTTGATTAGTGGGATATAACATTTTAAAACATTGTACAAATTAAATATGGGGAGGGAGAAAAAGAGAGGCTCTTTTATACAGGTTTCGTTGGCAAATAAAAAATTAGTTCGAGTTGTGTTGAATTAATTGAAATCATATTAAAGAGGAATAAATCTCAAAAAAGGCGAATATAAGACACAGTTGTATCCTCGGACCAGTTCGTATCTTCTTATCGCGGTGACGATCAATAAAGTCTCGGGAGGAGGAAAGAATCCGTTCTCCCTTCGCTGCTTGTGACGATGACGAGGACGATCACGTGTTCCGACGTGATCGGCGCGGTTGATGGTGGAGAGATGGTGGCGATGGTGATGGTTACAAGAGGACGAGGAATGAAAGAAGCTACGCTATAGTTCTAGTCGAGTTGTTGGAGGATGGCGGTGGCGAAGACGCGGAGTTGATAAGGGTTAATTTTGTACGAGAGGAGAGCGAGCCACGATCGCGCGCGTAGGTGGGAAGGAGGGGGAGAGGGGGGAGGGGGGGGGGCAGAGCAAAGCAGCCTTGCGATCCAATGACTTCCGGTTGTGATTCTTGCGCCTGCCCCGGGAGTGACGTTTGTTCCCTCAGCGGAGGGTTCTTATTCTTCTCTCTGTTTCTCCCTCGGGCCACCCTTGCACCCACTTCCGTCAGTCGGCCGCGCAAGCGCATTTCGATCCCGTTCCGCTCAGTCCGCATCAACGCCTTGGCGTAACGTAACGGCGTGATCCCGGCGGATTTTTATGCTCACGCTGAAGAGAGTCATTCGCCCGCGAGATTGAGGCTGAAGCTCGAGAACGTAGAAGCTCGACGACGCTCGAAGTGCCCGACTGCCGTCGTAGTTACAGCGCCGACGATGCCATCAGCGTTCGTTCCCGACGATGCTGCGTCAGTGAGGCCGATAGAGAGTGGATGTATCCCGCGATCTTCCGAATGTCACCTTTATAGGTGCGTTTGACTCTAGCTCGAGCGATACTAATAAGTGAGCAGATTTTTAGAAACCTTTTTTCATCGTAAGCATTTCCTCGCGATATCATTCGCAATGTTTTAACAATTGTATAACATATAGTTTTTAGTTTTATCTGCATTACATTAAAATTTTTTCTTTTGCGCTACGCAAAGTAAATCGCATTAGATATTATTTAACATATCAATTTGGAAAATTCGTGGTTTTCTTTCTTAATAGAAAAATATGTTTTTAATCGAATCGGCAACGAGAGAGAAGAGATAGTCTCCAAATAAATTAGAGTTCCATAAAATTGGCCGTTTGTTACGTTGAGCGAGTCAGCAACGAATGTTCCCAATGTACGTGCTTAA